AAAATTCTAGCTCTCTTGAATGGGGAATTCGATAAAGGGGCAGTTCTGAGCTGTGGGGTGAGGGTATGTTGGGGGTATGCTCTGCCTTAGCCAATGGGAGTAGGAAGGAGACCCTGGGAGGGGAGAGTAGCTCGGCAGAACCACTCTGGGGGAAGGACAGTCAGAGAATAGAGCCAGGTTTTAACTACACCACGGGAGTCTCGGAGCCTTGGTGGAGCCTTGGGAAGACAAGGAGGAAAGGAGAGATAGGGACAGGTGGGCAAAGGTTACCTCCTCTTTCTTTGAGGCTGTATGGCGGGGGTAGAGTGTTGGTGCACTGGAGAAAATGTAGCTAATATAACGGAGTTTCTGCCTCTGTACTTTGAGTGTAACTACCTAATGCCCCTGTTAGTCAATGACCCACATGGGAAAGGCAGTGATGTAAGTTTCATTTTTTTCTCTTTTTTGAAGTCCATGACTATATTAAGGACACCCTCCCACTATGGAAGTTGTGGAGGGAAAACCTGGAAGCACTCTGAACCTCAGTGAGTTTTTGGAAGCTCTTGACTCTTTCTGCTGCCAGCCCTTTTTATAAGATGTTGCTACTCACAGTAGCAATGTTCTGTTTTCAAGCATCTCATATGTGTCATTTCATTTTGATTTTCACAACAGCCCTGTAACATAGGCCTCACGGAATGGGCCTGTGGAATGTTATTTTTATGTGACACATGCTGATAAGTGAGGATAAGCTCGTCCAAAGGTGAGGGGCAGAGCCCGGGCTCTGATCCGGGTGTTCTGGCCTTGGATGCAAGTTTGTGTAGCTCTCTCTGCAGGCCCTTGCCAGCAGTGAGCAAGACAGATGACTTACCTCCTTTCCTTCTTCCACAGAAAGAAAACTTGGGCAGAGCCTCCTCACAGATGGGATAGGAGAAATTCAAAACAGATGAGCCTTTAGACATGAGAGCTAGATCAAGAAATAGCTCTTTGATGTCCTCTCCTGGAGGAAAGAGGAGAACAGCTTTACTCTTACTGTGTGTTTCACTGAGTATCAAAGGCATTCACAGTGTATGAGTTAAAGAACCTTTTATTTCCATTACTCTGCTCTCTGTGGGGAACAGTTTTCTTTCCTTGGTAAAACAGCCCTTAGTCAGTGTTCAGGGGATTACGATGGGACCCTGGGTATGAAAGTTGGCCGTTTCTCAAAATACCTGCTTGGAGCAAGGTAGCTAATCAGCTGAGCTCCCCACCCTGATGCTATGGCCTTTTAAAGTTATGTCTGCAGGTCTGGCTTCTGGAACTTCCCAGTTGCATAGTGTCATTTGTTCCCCATGGTGGCGATGCGGTGTGGTCACACCCGCATACACCTGCTGCCGTCGCCCAGGAGGTATTGCAGCGCAGGTACAGGAGGCGGCAGCGGGTTCCATGGGCGTGGCTTCCAATTCTGTCTTTTTCTCCATTCCTCCCTTTCATGTTCCATCTACTCTTCCATGTCTCTTTTCTCTCTTTTTCTCTCCCTATAACATTTCTCGAGCTGCCGCTAGAGCCCAGATACTGTGTGAGATTCTAGAAATACAAAGATGCGTGAGTGTTCTTGATTTCCGCGAACGTTCCATTTCTCTCAAATGATTCCACATGCTAAGTTTTTAAAACCTCTCTACTTCGATTTTGATATAACTGTTTTGGAAAAGGAGATAGTCTAGTAGCTATAGCAAATATATTGACTAACTGTAATTGCACGATCACATGAAAATTAAACAGTCAGAAAGTACTCTAGCTGGTTGATTGGGGTTGGGGAGAAAATATTACCTCCCCTCTTTGCCTTTGTCCAGGTTTAAGAACTTGTATGAGCTATTTGGGATACAAAATAACAGAGATGACAAACCATACTGTTGGCAGTAGATTTATTTGTTGCTAACTAAGCAAAAGTTAGGAGAGGCTGAGTAGACATTGATACTTAATCTCAAAATATTTTCATTTTTTGCTGGGTGTACTGATTTCAGGGGCTTATATCGTCCAAATGAGGGTCTGGAGTCTTTTAAACACAAAAGTACAGCATTAAATGAGAGTTCTACCCTACCTGGATTTTACCCAGAGAGAGATTTGAAAATGAAGATGTAAATAGAGTTAATTCCAGAGAGTGGTGAAGGTACAGTAGTTTAGCCAGTCATTATAGTTAACATAAGTCATTGGGTGTGTGGGGTCGGAAGAGGCTGTGAAATGCTTTATTTCATGCTAATCATTTTTTAAAACTTACTCAGGATAATTCCAAATCTAATGTTGACATTTGGTTTTAATTCCTTGGAACACTTTTCTATAGAAAAGCCAAAATCTTGCAATGGATCTGAGAAGAAGAAAACAATAGTTGTGAGCACATTTTATATATTATGCAAACATGTCCAAAATTTGCACCAAGATTGTTTTCACATGAATTACTACATTTATTCAAAAGCATATTGCCCAACACTTTTAAAAATAAGCCCATGATATTTTCATCAGCTGCCCCCAGTGTCTTCACAGCTAATGTCAGGTTCACTCTGATGACAGGGTTTCCATCCATGGGATGAACAGTGTCTTGCTAGTTGGGTTATATTTTTACTTGTTGACGTTTTTATCATAGAAAATTTTTATCATTGCCTGAGTTACTTTAGTTCCTGAATGTTTGGTCTTAAAATTGCTCATAGATTGCACAAATATTTTAATAAAGTGTCTATTAGTATTATTAAAACAGAGGGAGATACAAAAGTTAGAAGGGCTTGAGTAGACATTAATATTTAGGCTCAGGCTGTGTGCGGTGGCTCACGCCTGTAATCCCAGCATTTTGAAAGGCTGATGTAGGCAGATCACCTGAGATCAGGAGTTCGAGACCAGCCTGGCCAACATGACAAAACTCTGTTCCTACTAAAGATACAAAAAATTAGCCAGGTGTGGTGGCATGCGCCTGTAATCCTAGCTACTCAGGAGGCTGAGGCAGGAGATCACTTGAACCTGGGAGACAGAGGTTGCAGTGAGCTGAGATCATGCCATTGCACTCCAGCTTGGGCAACAAGAGGGAAATTCCGTCTCAAGGAAAAGAAAAAAAATAATTAGGCTCGAAATATTTTCTCAAAAGATTTTCAAAGTTAAGACCTGCCTTTGTAATTCCATTTTATCCCATCCCATCCCATCTCACCCCATTTAATGTAATATTTCTCACTCCCAAATATTCCACTATGTACAAGGTATTGAGTTAGATATGATGGGGCTATAAGGATAATATTTTCCACATGTAACTTCTGCTCATTCACAAAGCTCCAGTGGCTTGGCTATGCATCAGAATAGATCCAGAAATGATCCACTGGCTCCAATATCCATGCTCCACATCAACAATCCATCCTCCATTCCTTGAGACCAGGGTGGCAACCTACACACCAGCACATTTCCACCATGTTTGATTTGCCTGTGTGCCTTCTCCCATTCGCAGTGGTCTTAGCCTTTTTGGCCATTGTTTAAATCTTGGGTCTTGATCATTCCCATCTTCTTTGTGAAGGCTTTCCTGCCCCTAAATATTCTCTTGCTTCCTTGAATTCTTAAAACAAAGATGTCTGGCGTTCTCGGTAAAGTGTACAAACATGTATCACTCTGTACTTTGCTATGGGGCTTATCCCACAACACTTAATCTAAACATGAGATTCCTTGAATGTCAGAGCTAGTTTCTTGTTTTGTTTTCCATTTCCTTTTCCTCTATGTTTCCCACTGGGCTGGAGACAGGAAAGCTATTGTTAACAGAGGGTTTACCTTGTACTAATAGCTGAGCTTTGCACTTTCCTGGTGTTTTTCCCTTTAATTCTCCAGGTTCCCCAGCACCTACCAGAGAGCCTCACAGTCTGACACACAGTACACACTTCATAAGTGTACATGATGAGTGAATGGGTGGGCCATATAGTGGAGCTGTTTCTCAGCTCCAAATCCAGCCCTCTCTCCTCTGCTTTTTAACTGGGCTCTCGGCAATCACGTTTCTTTTTTGCTGTCTGCCAGCCAAGGTACCAGGGAGACAGAGGCTGGACTTGAAGAAGGGACTTGCTCCTTCTTGAGTGCTTGGTGAGAGTGTCAGTGGCGATGGCCCATCACCCTGGCAGTGGCAGTTGGCTCCAGTTTCCTGCTCTCTTTTGCACTTTCCCAGCATCAGCCAAGGCTCAGCTCTGTTGGGCCCTAAGCTACTGCAATAACAGCACATCAGAAGCTGCCACCCCTTCCTTAGCAGTCTGTGTCTCAGCTCCACGGGTCCTTCTGCCAGGCATCCAGTTTCTTTCTTTTTTTTTTGAGACAGAGTCTTACTCTGTCACCAGGTGCCAGGCTGGAGCGCAGTGGCACGATCTCGGCTCACTGCAACCTCCACCAGCAATTCTCCTGCCTCAGCCTCCCGGGTAGCTGGGACCACAGGCCCATGCCACCACGCCCAGCCAATTTTTGTATTTTTAATAGCGATGGGGTTTCACCATGTTGGCCAGGATGGTCCTGATCTCTTGACCTCGTGATCCGCCCGCCCCGGCCTCCCAAAGTGCTGGGATTACAGGCTTGAGCCACAGCACCTGGCCCAAGCATCCAGTTTCTAATCACCACAATCTCTGCCTTTGCTCTCTCAGCCCTCAGAGGTCCTTTCTTTGGTTCTCCAGCAACTGGTTTTCTAACCAACTCCCTATATCAAATTCTCTCTGTTAAAATAACAGATATGGTCTTCGTTTTCCTGACAGGACTTGCAGAATAAACAATAATCTGAAGAGATAGGTATAATGTACCTCACTTTACTGTTATGAAAATATAGACTCAGAGACATTGTATTAACTTACCTGGATCCCCACATTAGAGAGTGTCAGAGTCAAGATTCAAAGCCAGAGTTAAAAACAAACAAACAAACAAATTGCTCCCTGGTATTGTGCAGTGAAACTCACAAAGTAGAACCTCAACTACATATGGTACTTATTTGATTTGTAAGATTGCCCAGAATATTTTATGTGCAGTCATATGGCATCTGGTAGTTTTGTTTCATAACTGATTTCCATTTCAGCTTCGCTATGAGCTCACATTTGCCAATGATAGTGTTCCAGACAGTTTTATCATCCACTTGCTGACCTGGAAGATGCATCATTGTCTATGATATCTGCAATGGAAATGATCACGAGGCAATTTCAGCCTTGCAAATCTAACGTAAGTACACTTTTGTTTGATCAAAACCCCTTTGGTCCAGTCACTAGTTCTCCTAAGGGTAGGGAAGAGCCCTTTTGTCTTATGCTCATTGGACTCCTTCCTAAGTATCTCTGTGGTATCCCAGGGCTTCCTTCAGCCTGGAAAATAGGAGCAGGGGGTTGGAGTTGATAGTTCCTGCTATATCCTTGGCACTCTGTATTGAAAAAGATAGATGCCAGTGAACAGATGTTTAGGAAGGTGCATCCTCAAAATCGTGGGTAAATTTAAGTTGCTATCCAAGCAAAATAAAAGAGGCTAAGTATGTATTACGTTGTTAATTAGCAGCTACAGAATTACACTGTCTGTTTATCAATATTTTAAAGGAATGGATAGAAAGAATCAACTAAGGGTGGGAGAAGGAAGCAGAGCATTTTCTTGGTGCTAGAAACACATTGTTGTTAGGAAAATAATCTTAATAAGGAACAAAGTCACAAAGAAAGCTGTAGGCTGCATCTCTCTGAGGATCTGTATATAAAAGCAGAAAGACAGATTGCTTAAAAAGTGCTTAGGGGTTTGGTGAGCTTTCCTAGCAGTTATTTCAAATTTATATGCAAGAGTGATATCTTTGAGTGTAAACATGCAGTCTGTGGTCCTCTGGGGAAAGTGACATTGGTTCCTCCTCCTCCCCCAAACCCATCTCTTAAACTCATATCCTTCCCTGCATTTATTTGCATTTCCACTCAGGCATTTTGAATGCTCTATGTTACATTATATTTGTTTGTATACCTCTGTCATTCCTCCACTAGATGCTGCAAAGCTGACTCCCCGGTGCCAGGGCTATGCATAATGTCTTAAGATGACTTTAGATCTCCAGTGATTGTTTGCTGGATAAATAATAGTGATTATTTGCAGTAAATTTGCTGAGAACCTTAAGGCAGGATTTCTCAATATTGTCACTGTTGACATTTTGTTTTGGGCATCCTTTGCGGTGGGTGTTGTCCTGCACATCTTAGGATGTCTAGCAGCATCCCTGCTCTCTCTCCACCAAATGCCAGCAGCACCCCCATTCCCTCTAGCTGTGACAACCAAAAATATCTCTAGACATTACCAAAGTATCCACGGGGGACAAACTCATCCCTGGTGGCGATCACTGCTTTAAACAATCGACTTATCAATTTCCAGGCTTTATCTATGCTACAAATGACTCAGAATCACCTCCCAAAATAAAAGACGGTAGGTTGCATTTTAAAGTAGTTCTCCTTCTACAGTGTGAAGAGTGATAGGCGGGCCGAGAGTGGAGAGACTTTCCCTTGGAGGCTTGCCTCAGTAACTTTTAACACATGTAAGACGGATCATCTAGCTTTGGACTTTGTGAAACAATAACATTGGAAAGTTAATCAGAGTTGGTGTTCTGGGAATTCAAGGGCACAGATAAGTGTTTCCTCCGGATACTTCACTGTATTTCAGCAAATGAGCCGAGGAAAGAAGTCAAACCTTCATCATGCAATAGAAGACTGTTCATTTTCACTATTTCTTCCTTGGCCTCTATGTGACACTCCCTTGCTGTCTGTCCTGCTGACTTCTACGGCTTCAGCCCAAGGGAGGACAGCATTATAGTGGATGAACCCAGCACACCCCAAACTGCGCCTGCTCCCCTCTCCCCCAGCCACGTGGGCCTTGGAAGGCAGGCTTCTTCAAACCAGCAGCATGTGAACCCTGCCAGAGGTGAGGAGGAGCTCCAGGAGAGCAGCCAGCAGCATCTGTTTTGCATACTAAGGGCAGCGACAATCAAATTTCTCCTAGAAAGTTTTTCTTGGACGTTCATAAAGTAAAATAGAATTGGATAAACAAGCCAGGTTTAGAGTGAGCAGGGTTTGAAGAAATCTCAGCTCTAAAGGTATTTTTGTGCCTTCTGCTCTCTGTTAGTGGCCTAGGCTGGGCCAGACCTGGGCAGTTGTCGAGGGGAGGACAACCTTGCCAGAGTGGCTTCTATTAATAGCTACGAGTGGGTTGGCAACTGGAATCGGTAGGAAGAAGACAAAATCCAATGGCAGAGTCTCTAGAAGTGAAATTCCTCAGCAGAGGATGGTGGGGCCCCAGGTGCACTCCACTGGACCAATCCTTGATTTGTTTTCAGGCAGCCCGAAAGCTTGGATGTATGTCCCCAAATCCTGGAGTTCATGGATGTAGCTCCACACCCTCTGCGTTGCTGGCTGGGTGGTTTGAGGCATAGGGGAGGGCCCAGCTCTTATGTGGCTAGTCCCAGTTTCCATATTCTAGCTCTACTTGAGGTTTTTCTTTAGCTTTATATTTTGAAATGATTGTATTTTCACAGGAAGTTGCAAAAAGATAGAGAGGTCTCATATGCCTTTCCTCATCTTCCCCCACGGTAAGATCTTACAGGTAGGACAATACCAAAACTGGGGCACTGACATTGGTACAATCCACAGAGTTGTTCAGATGTCACCAGTTTCACAATCACTTGTGTGTGTGTGTGTGTGTACATGTGCATGTGTCTGTTTCTTACAGTACTATTGCTTGGGTTTAAAAATGGTTAGAAATTGGTCTTCCTCCTCTCAGGGGAGGGTAGAATTCTTACAGCAGAGTCCCTGTGAAAAGGAGCTGACCCCCTCCAACCTCACCTCCACCAGCCTTCCCCATTCTCATGGCCAAGTGCAACCTCAAGCTTGCAGTGTCCTTCCTGCTTTGTAAAGGCAGTCTCTCTTCCCCTTCCTTTCTCCTACCCTTTCCTCTCCTCTTCTCTCTTCCTGTCTCTCATTCTCTCTCTCTCTCCTTCTCGCCCTCCCTTTCTCTCCCTCTCTCTTTTTCTCCTCATACCAATACTTAGATCTAACTACCATCCCGAGATCCAGAACGCTGACTTTTCTTCAAACACACCTTAACTTCCATGGTTCATTCCCTGCGACCCACATTTCTCTAAAAGCTGGTACTGCTTCCTGCATGTGCTGTTGGTAGAACACACCCTGGCCCCAGGAGGATATTAGCTATTACAAGCATGCTTCCGATAGAGGCATGACCTGAGGAGAGAGAGAGGGTGTAGAGGGCCCAGGAGACCTTACCATTCACACGCAGCTTAGCTGCACTGGCAACACTGTCCCTAGTAAACAGTTTATGGAAGGAAGGAAAAATTGAGTTAACAGAATGTGAGTAAAGCTGGTCTGCTTCTGGCTGCTCAATAAAATAGTACTGGATGGCCATTTAATAAAGGGGGGTGTGTTAGGGTTCTCTAGAGAAACAGAACCACTTGGCACTGGGGACAGAGTGTCTGAGTGTGGTTGAACTGCTGGTCCTGGGCCAAATGGTAGTGGATATTCCTCTGCATCTTCCAGAATTCTTTCCCAAATGTAACAAAATAACAAACAGACCTTGCTTTTGATTTCTTCTTTTAGGTTGGCTGGTGACCAATTCTGCCAGCTTGTATTCTGTCTATCATACAGGCTTAGCTGGGCATGGATCTAGAAGTCTGTCTTCCTTCATGGCTGTATTTTGACTAGAGTGTCTTAATTTTCTTGGCAAATTTGTAGGATGACATTCAAGGGTCACTGTAGACCTTTACAAGAAGATGATGCATAAGGCTTCAGTAAAATCCCATTGCTGGAAATTCATCACGAGCATGATGCAAAATTAACTTTCTTCTTTTCTGTCCTTAACGCCACTGTGTTCCCTCTGCCTTCTCCCCTCATACCCCCTCCCTGCCTTTGTGGAAAAGAAATAACCTACAATGTCTTAAATGTATTCTAGCTGTGTTTTTCTATTACGTCCTGATCTCTTCTTTTTTCTACCTGTCAAATCTTATTACCATGGAGTAGCACAGCAAGGCTCCCCAGGAGGTCATTATCTCATAATAGTAGTTCTCTTTGGCCAGCATTTCCTCAGTAATTGACTCACACGTTCAGGTCATACGTATGAACTGGCTTCTTGTTTCTTCATCTCAGATATGTAGATAGTGTGTTCAAACTACTTACACGTGTTTATCGCTATCAAATGCAACAAACATAAAATTAACACTGTCACAATGGAATATCTTCAATTTGTGATTTGAGATGGTAAAAGCTGCAACGTCCTGCGGCTGCCTGGCAACCTTGGTGAATGTGTTTTTGAGTGAGAAGGTATGTTTGGGCTGCTAAATTCAAAATTCTGGATTCCTATCTTATCTGCTTTTAACTGCAAAAAAAAAAAAAAAAAAAAAGAAAAAGAAAAAGAAAAAAAAGAATTCATAATAGGAGGCCTTTTTATTGGCAGAAAAGGAGTAGGTATCTTGCATGCCCCTCTGGCCTCTAAGTTCCACTTTCCCAGAATAACCTAAGTTTGGCTTCCATCAGCATAGGAGGTGATGGCTTTTTTTTTTTTTAAATCATGATATAAACATTAGAAACCATAAGAGATGTGTGGCATGGAAGACAGGCTTCTAACCAAAATATCTTGCCAAATGTCTTGAGGAAAATAGTGAGCTATTTGAGGTGGTGATGTCTGATCTTTGCATCTTAGGACTAGATCAACAGTGCCCTGGCCAGGCACGGTGACTCACACCTATAATCCCAGCACTTTGGGAGGCCAAGGCAGGTGGATCACCCGAGGTCAGGAGTTCAAGACCAGCCTGGCCAACATGGTGAAAACCCATCTCTACTAAAAATACAAAAATTAGTCAGGTGTGGTGGCACATAACTGTAGTCCCAGCTACTCAGGAAGCTGAGGCAGGAGAATCGCTTGAACCAGAGGATGCAGTGAGCCAAGATTGTGCCACTGCACTTCAGCCTGAGCAACAGAGTGAGATTCCATCAAAAAACAAAACAAAACAAAATAAAACCAGTGCACCAAAAATAAGTGCACAATTTTACTGTGTGTTACCAAGAGGATGCCATGGCGCCCCATAACGTAGGGTCCTAACATGAAGGTGAGAGGGAACTGGAACCTGTCTTATGGGTGACAGACAGTGTGTCTTAGTGGCTGGAAGATGCAAGAGGAAGAGCAGGTTGGCTCATCATTCACTAACCTGTGGTAGGAAGGGGATTAGGTCTTGGGGATAGAAAGACAAATCAGAGATGCTTCTGTTATCATCGGAATTATAGTACTTCCACCATCTGATTATGATAGCACACCACTGAATAATAAACTCAACAAAAGATGCATGTACACTCTATGTGTACTCTAAATCTCTCATTTATAGTAAACACAAATCAACATCTTATAGTCTTCTATGGGCAAGGCAGGTTTCTCATGAATTCACTTTATACTACCTTGCCTGGCCCCTCTTCATTTTAAACACCGTCTTAGTAATGGTGTCACTATTCTTTCTTACAGTATGTTTATTAACTGTCTAATATGTGCTAGACACTCTGCTAGCTGTGGTGGAATCGAGGTAAAAAAGGAGTATTGACCAGGTCAGTTCACCCAGACCCCTACTGTTGGTGAAGTGGCGACCAGAGCTCCCCTAAGTCTAAAAGCATCGCAGGAACTTGCCTCTTTGGCTTGGTGTTGGTAATTGTTTAACTTTCTGTTACTAATCTGGAGTCGGTCCATGTGGGATAGAAAAGGATAAATGCGAGTCTGTTCTCTGTTTATAATGGAAGATTAGACTTTAGCACATGCTTCTCCACTGCCAATGTGGATTTCACCAGCAGGCAGACTCCTTCGAAGGGAGAGTCTGGCTTAGGGACAGCGGGAACTATGGCATTGGTAACTCCCACACAACCACGATACACCTGTTGTATTTCATGTCTGCGTTTCTTACAAATTTGTCTGTCTCTTGACAGGGAACAGAAACAGGGCCGGGACGCACAGGGTGGTTTACTTGACTGTACAGCTGCAAAGACAGCTCTGGGACTTTTCTTGACATGCTGCAAATTCTGAAAGGGAATTTCCTCCTGCTTCCAGAAGTCATGAACTAGACATGGTTTAAAAGAAAAAGCTAAGGTGTTTGTTGTCTTTGGCATCTGATGCGGTGGAGTATGATGGCTGAGTGAGCAGGAACTGGCAAACCGGCTGGGAGGTAACAGCTGAGGTTGCCTTAGTCTTTGCTTATGGATGGTGCTGGATTTGAACCAAACACACCAGGAGGTCCTCAAATGTTATTTGAATGGTTGATTCTCTCATTAAGTCTTGAGAGTGGCCAGGGCATGGGGTGTTAGTTCTAACATCCCTGTTTGCTAAGGAAGAGGGTGAGATCTCAGGCAGGGAAGTGACTTCCTCACATCTCCAGACTCAGCCTCCAGAGCCCTGAGCACTGCACCCTGGATGCTGTGCGGCTCTCACCCTGGAGCAGGTGAGTGAGGCAGACAAAAGACAGAAGCAGAACTTTAGATGGAGTCCAGACATGTGTGCCGGGACCTGGTCCTCCTAGGATTCAAGTTGCTTACAGAGAGTGACAAGATCCAACAAGCTTCCCAATTTTGCTAAAATTCTTCACTGTGATGGCACATGTCACTGTCTCTCTGCACAGGTGCTGCTTTTCCCAACCCAAAGGAAACTGGAATAGAGGAAAAAGCATCAGAAGTTTTTTTGTTAGGAATTAAGGGAAATAATGTATATAAAGCATCTTGTCCAGTGCTAGGCACACAATAGACAGTTAATAATTGGGCAAAAGGAGAATGGAGTCAGTTAGAAAGAAGATATTGTAATATTGACTATTCTCATTACAGTTGCAGAAAATGAAACCAACTTTTAAAAATCATTTTTCTTTTTAACGTGAGAACACTCAGGTTTAAAATGATTTCATTTAAGTTCATACATCTTTTTGTATTTTTTTGAGACAGGGTCTGGTTCTGCTGCAGGCTGGTATTAAACTCCTGGGTTCAAGCGATCATCCTACCTCGGCCTCCCAAACTTCTGGGACTACAGGTGTGATCCACTGTGCCCAGTTTTTTTCTTTTTCTTTTTTTTTTTTTTGAGACAGAATCTCGCTTTGTTGTTCAGGCTGGAGTGCAATGGCATGACCTTGGATTACTGCAACCTCTGCCTCCTAGGCTTAAGGGATTCTCATGCCTTAGCCTCCTCGGTAGCTGGGATTACAGATGTATGCCACCACACTGGGTTAATTTTTGTATTTTTATTAGAGATGGGGTTTCACCATGTTGGCCAGGCTGGCCTTGAACTTCTGACCTCAAATGATCCACCTGTTTCAGCCTCCCAAAGTGCTGTGATTACAGGCCTGAGCCACCCCACCCGGCCTTCAGCCCAGCTTTAAGTTAAAGAGATAGTTCTGAGATGAAACCTAGATGTCAGTTGGGGCCTCCCAGCCCTTGAGATATAAACAGGATTGGTGGAACACCATCTCATGGTTGGGATGCTCTTCGCTGCTGGTTCTTAATGTGGCCGTATGTTGGAGTCACTAGGAGAGGGCAGTGAATATACCCATGCCTGAGCTCCACCCAGACAGTTTGATTTAACAAGTCTGGGTGCTGCCTGGTTTGTAAACACTCCCCAGGTGATTCTATTGCCCTGCCTACTTAGAAACCCACTGTTAAAAGCCACATCAAGTTTTGGTTTTTTTTTTTGCTAATTTCCTGATATATAATCTTAAATGTGAGATCCCATGTCTACTGGGTATTACTCAGGCTCAAAGTTTAACCCCTTCATAGATGTCCTAAGAAACCTCCTTATAAACCATTTCACAAGGTCTACAGAATTTATGAAGAGCTAGGAGGCAGCTCCCTCTGCCCAGACCTTTATGACCTGGCGAGATGCTCCCGGCCCCTTTCCCATTTTTCATGTCTCTGGCTCCTGTCACTACAAAAGAGACATGGTGTTTTCCCCTCGCTCAGTCCTGAGGAGCTGGAACTTTGGCAGTTACCCAAGCGACTCTCAAGAATTCTTTCAAGAGAGGCACGACTCTGCTTAGGAGGGATTCCTGCAACAGCCCCTAAAAGCATTTTTTTTTCTCTTTCATTTCCTGAGCATCGACTCTCTGCCAAACACGATCTTAGGTATGAAAAGATTTGAGATGGGAGTTCAGGGATGAAGGGAACAAGGCTGAAAAGATGAGCAAGGAGAGCTGGCGGAGGATGGGAGCATGAGACAGGACACGCCGGCAAACAACTCCCAGTGTGGAGAAGAACATGGAAGAACAGCAGAGCTTGGCAGATGTGAGTGGGTGGCGTGGGGCTGGGGGAGCCAGGACCACAGAGCCTGGTGTGCGCAGGAGTCCTGGGCTGCCGGCAGGCTCGCGGGAGCTCTGTGCTTGGGCGGAGAGCACTGATTTGAAGGTGGGAATGCAAACAGGCATCAAATTAAAAAAAGTAAAAAAGACATGATTATAAATAAAAGACATTTGGCGTCAATGAAGGAACTACTTAAGAGACCAGCAGCATCTTTTGTAGCCTAATAAGTTTTGCCTCCCTTCTCGGTCTGTAAGACAGTCAAGTTTCACACTCTCGGGAGTTTTGGGTGTGGTTCTTCTGTGGCTGTGACTTGAGAAGATTGTGTTGTGTTGTGTTGTGTGTGTGTTCCGTGTCTCTCCATAAGTCGTCATGACTTTTGGAGATGGAAAGTCAACTCATCCATTTTCTTTGTTTCCTATGCACTGATTTTCTTCTGGAAAGGCTGTCTGTGTTCCTGAATACAGGCACAAATACAGGCTATAAACGAACAACTTATTTGGCCGGGTGCCGTGGCTCACGCCTGTAATCCCAACATTTTGGGAGGCAGAAGTGAGCAGATCACGAGGTCAAGAGTTCGAGACCAGCCAGGCCAACATGGTGAAACCCTGTCTCTACTAAAAAATCCAAAAATTAGCCAGGCGTGATGGTGGGTACTTGTAATCCCAGCTACTCGGGAGGCCGAGGCAGGAGAATTGCTTGAACCTGGTTTTAGGGGAGAGAAGTAGAAGGTTCTAAGAAATAAACTCTATGAAAAATATCTCTGTAAGAATTTGAGAATGAGCTAAAAAAGTCCCTTCACTATTTCTGACTTCCCACTCTAGCAACACCTTGCATGGCTCATTGCACTGCACCATGGGAGCTGCTTAAGTGTCGGAGGAGTGAATGGAGGAAGGTGGATAAACTATCAGGCCCAGAAAGTAAGGGGCCGCATCACCTTAGCAGTCATTCAGCTGATTTTGGAAACCATCAGCTTGCTCCTTAATCTCCTCAAATGTTTTGCTAACACATTGCCCTTGTAATAAATCTTAACTTCAGTGTGACTTCTTCTAATACAATAGGCCATAAAGATGACTTTCATCCACATAGTGCTCAGCACTCAGAGTTGGGGGGTAAATATTCCTCCAGTTAGATTGTTCAGGACACGTGCCTGAAATCAGAGCAGCTGGCAGAACACAGCAGCAATTTGATTTTTCTTATTTTTGGTAGGTGCAGAGAAAATGGAAGGAGGGATGCTAATTCAGCAAGAGAGACAAAAGACCTGATATTTGTTTATTGGTCCAATCGTAAAGGTTTTTGAGCTCCTACTGTTTGCTAGGCACCGTGCCAGATGCAGGATATGAAGACGATTTAGTCTTAGACGCAGCCCCTGATGTTCAGGAGGAAGGGGGGTAAACAGATGACTGTCACGCAGCCTAGCCACGAGGCACCCTGAGAGAACGCGAGGCATGTCTAACCCAGTGTGGGTGACAGGGATGGCCACCTGGTGTACAGGTGCCAGTGCTTTGCCTTGGAAGCTGTGGAGGCACTTTTGTGACGTTCATCTTAAGTATATTCCTATATATTTCCAAATATTTCCAGTAATTACAGATGGGTGTAATAACGGTGGTCACTTCTATAGCTCTTCCCCTGCCCCCGCCCACCGCAGGTGCTGCTCTAAGCCCTACATGTGTATCAGCTCAAATCCTCACAAAAGCCATAAGAAAGATGCTGTTATTATCTGTGTTTTAGAATGGAGGAGACTGAGGCAGAGAGGATTTATGGAAAGTGTGCAGGTTGCAAATCTTGTATAGGGCTGGAGTAGGACCCTTTGTATGTTGACTCTTGTCTACCAACACAGGCACGGAGAACAACATCTACAAAAAAACTCAAGTCCTAAAGACTGTGTATTCTGGGAACTTTACGCTTGCCAACAAAAGCCCTTTGTGAAATCAAGCCAGTTGTGGTTTTGTGACTTTTATCTTGATTCATGTAAATGCAGTCAGTCCAGCTTCTTTCTTTAAAGCCGGAGGTCAGAGGTAGGTGGTGTTTGCTCAGACATGGACGAACCTTAAAGGTCCTAGAATTACCCCTGGAAGGATAGTGGAAAAGCAAGATAATTTTCTTTCCTCTGTTGCTTAAAGTGGTACCCGAAAGGTAGATTTCTGCCTTCTTCCTACATATTTCCAAAGAAGGAGGCTTCCTTGGCAAAATACAAGTTTCTGCAGCTGCTGGGGTCAGAAAGAGTTTCCATCATCATCACAAGCCTTCATCTTGCGGGTAAGCTCAGACATGCTCACCCTCTTGCTGATTTTATTGAACACCTGCCCATGATGTGGAATTGAATTTCTACACCATACATGACCGTAGTGCGACATCAAACCAGTCTGTGCCTTGCAGCCCTTAAATACACACACGAGCATGCACACACACAGACACACACGCAGACACACACACAGACACACACGCAGTCACACACACAGACACACATACTGTACAAAACAAAACCCAGCCCTGCCTTGCTTTTGCCTTCTAGCCTGACCATTTTAGGGCACGCTGTCTTAGTGTGTTCCTAAGAATAGATGCTCCCATGTAACTCCGACAGTAAATCGAGGTGTCGGTTAGCACTCATCTCGCCCCACTGAGCTTCTGTTTCCTCACTTGTAAAAGGAGGAGGAACTGAGCACTATATTAGGGTTCATGCTTCCTTCCTATGCCAGGCTTCTCAGGTGCCTAAGAGACCAAGGAAGTGGAGCCCAGATTCTGGGGACTCGGGGCCTGTACTGTGGGAGATGCACAGCCTCAGGCTCAAGAGCATCAGCCATTTTTTCAAAAAAACCTTTTTGTCTTGAAATAATGTTAGACACAGGAAGCCACCCAAAGAGTACAGAAGTGTCCTGTGTACCTTCACCCACTTCCCTTCATGGTAACATCTTACATAACTGAATAGCAAAAGCTCGTCATTGACACTAGTACACTCCACAGACTGTATTGAGATTTCAGCAGTTTTCACATGAATGCACGTTTGCTCATGTAGTTCTATGCAGTTTTACTGCATGTAAGCACCACCATAATCAAGATACACATCCTGGCTGGGTGCAGTGGCTCATGCATATAATCCCAACACTTGGAGAGGCCTAGGCAGGAGGATCACTGGAACCCAGGAGTTCAAGACCAGCCTGAGCAATATAGGGAGACCCTGTTTCTACAAAAATAGAAGCCAGCACCTTTCCTTGCCAGTGCAAATGTTTCTTGCAATGTTCAGGGCCCTGGAGAGAATCTTGGCCATACACAGAGCCCTACAGAACAAGAATGAATTCTTTTTTTTTAATTAGCTTTTAATGGACACGTAATAATTGTCCATATTTATGGGTTTGCTTCCTAAATGCTTTCTAGTATGAGAGCAACTTAGCTTATTTT